GTACGGTTTGGGGCTACCGAGGCTGAGGCAGGAGACTCGCTTGAGCCCAGGAGTTGGAGGTTGCTGTGAGCTGTGATGCCTCAGCACTCTACCCAGGAGGACAGCTTGAGGCTCTGTCTCAAAAAAAAAAAAAAGGAATTCTTCATTTGGTCACACAGCTTTCAAATGTTCCTTAACTAACAGATACTACTTTTATAAGCAGCGGAAATGCTAACCACTGATGTGCACATTCCTTTGTTTAACACGGCGGGGCGCCCCTCCCCGCTCTCCGCCCCACCCCTCCATCTCTGGCCACACCCCCTCCCTCCGGCCACGCCCCTCCCCCAGCCTTTCCCCTCTCTCTTCTCACGCCTCAGCCCTCGCCCTGCCCCCCCCCCCCGCTCCGTAGAAGGCATTTTCCCGGATCGTCTCCCAAGTCGCTTTTCTAGCCCCAAACCATACGTGTTCGCTCTGAGGGCTGGCCCCTGGGGCTCCCCAAGACCCTGGGCATCACTTCCCGGGCCGCACGCCCTCCAGGCCCCGCCTGCCTTCTTCCGGTCGGCTCACGGACTCTGTCCCGCAGGTCTTCCCGCGACATGGCTCCGCTACGCTTCTCGGCCAACCTGTCCTGGCTGTTCCCCGAGCTCTCTGGCCTCCCCGCGCGGCTCCGGGCAGCCGGCAGCTTCGGCTTCGAGGCCACTGAGGTGGCCTGGCCATACGCGGAGCCGCCCGAGGCGCTGGCGCGCGTGGCTCGGGAAGCGGGGCTGAGGGTGGTGCTGATCAACACGCCCCCGGGTGCGCAGTGGGATTGGGGAGAGCCGGGGGTGGGTGAAGGCACGGTGCCCGAGCCCGGGGCTGAGGCCTGTTCTTTCCTCAGGAGACCAAGAGAAGGGGGAAATGGGGCTAGGGGCCGTTCCCGGGAGACAGGCGGCCTTCCGAGAGGGATTGGAGCAGGCTGTGCGTTACGCCAAGGCTCTGGGTTGTCCCAGGTATCTCTTTGTCCTCCCCGCCTCTGAGACCTTTGACCCTGCAGCAGGTTTGGAGTCAGGGAGATGACTGCGCCAGGTCTCAGTCCCTGGAAGTCTGAGAGTACTGGTCCTTCTCCTTTTTGTCTGTCGTGTGTGATTCTGTTTGCCACTCTTTCATGCTTATCCCATGCTGGGAACTCCAGTCTGTCCAGGGAGATAGTAAAGTACGTATACCCAGCAGTCCAGTCAAGGTCGGGCCTACTCAAGAAAGCTGTGGGAGTAAACACCTAACCCTGTCTGCATCTGAGAAAGCTGCTTGCAGGCAATGCTGCTGGAACTAAGTGCCTAAGGAAGGGGCATTTGTTTCATAAGCAGGAGGTAAAAGAGTATTCCAGCCAAGAATGCTGTAGCCAAAGGCAAGAGGAGGCTTGAGTTTCTGAGGCTGGAGATGTAGCCTGTTGGGGTTGGAAGGGCCTGGAATGCTGAAGCTAGATGTGGCTTATAATTGATGGGAGGTGAAAGGCTCAAGGTGGGGCTGATTCAAATGTCAAGTCCTGCAGAGGCCAAACAGAGAAGGAACTGGCAAGAGTGGATCATTACTGGTGAGTGGTGAGGACAAGAGGCTAAGAAGTAGATGCAAGGATAAGAAGTAGAGATGGATAGCGTGGAATACTTGAGAAGGTCCGAAATAACTTTAGAAGTGAGACTTTAGCTGCTATCAAGTAAGGAGGCAGGAGGGATGGGTTGACCCAGACAAGGTATTTGGGAAAGGAGTTGGCTTAAGGCTGTTACAAAAGTGTTTCTGAAGGTTCTGGGAGGCCTGAGCATAGTGACCCAGGTGATAACTGGACTAGAGATCTGGGGAGACAGACAGGTGAGGGCTGGCACAGAGCTGAGCTGGTGAAGACCTCTAGTCCTGTCCTCACCACAGGATTCACCTGATGGCTGGCCGAGTACCACAGGGAGGGGATCGAGCAGCAATGAGGGGTGAGATGGAGACAGTTTTTCTGGAGAACCTGAGGCACGCAGCTGGGGTTTTGGCTCAGGTGAGACGGACGGGAACATATATACACATACTTTGTGTGGAGAAGGGGGCACAGCTCAAAGGGACAGGTGAGGGTCTTGACCTGTGCCTCCAGGGGACAAACCTGGGAGCAGCTCTGGTCACAGCATCAAACATGATGCTAGGAGAACCTCGTGGGACTGTTGGAGCCCATCAACACCCGTGTCACTGACCCCCAGTACTTTCTGGACACACCCCAGCAGGGTAGGACCCTGGCCCTGGGCTTGCCCCTGTCCTCTTTGGTCCCTGTGCTCTCCTGAGTCTCATGGCCTTGACTCCTTCCCCAGCGGCAGCCATCTTACAGAAGGTTGGAAGACCCAACCTCCAATTACAAATGGTAAGTGTGAGGGGAACTTCACAGACGGCCCGTGTTCCAGATAGTGGGAGCCTGAGGGGGTCTCTGACCGTAGTACTCTCCTCCCTAGGACATATTCCACTGGCAGATCATGGATGGGAACCTGACAGGAAACATCCAAGAGTTCCTGCCTATTGTTGGTGAGAGGGACCCTCCCTTGGCAACTTCCAAGTCTGCTATGCTGCTCCCTAAGCCTCCCACCTCTCAACTCCCACATCTGTCCCCAGGGCACGTGCAGGTGGCACAGGTTCCAGGCCGAGGGGAGCCCAGCAGCCCTGGAGAGCTGAACTTCTCCTATCTGTTTCAACTGCTGGAAGATGAAGGCTACAGAGGCTTTGTGGGCTGCGAGTATAAGCCTCAAGGTGAGGGGTGGGGTGAGGCTACAGGGGTGGCTCTGGGGAAGGGAGCCCTGAAGGGTCAGATGTTGGACAGAGGCTATTTTTCTTCTTGTGGGGTGAGATGACACTGCCTCTCTCCCTGAAGGAGACACAGTGGAGGGCTTAAGTTGGCTACGTTCATACTGGGACAGGCGGGGCCGCCCACAGGCTGGCCAGTGAGATCCTGCAAACCACCCACCTGCCTCTCTGAGACAGTTCATGAGCATCCCGAGTCCTCCTCTACATTAAAGATGACCTGCTGAATGTTTTCACGTCAGTGTTATAGGGGCTGGGGGGAAAGACACATAGTGTCTGTGTCAGTCTCACTGGGTTGTTTCCCTCCTGTTGAGAAGGGACATATAGTTCATGCTCAGATCCTCCACTTGGTGCCAGGGTTGCTGTGGAGACAGGAGAGCTTTGGAGGCCACCTCCTCACTTATGGATGAGAAACCAAGGGTGTGAGAGCAAAGGGACTTAACCGTAGTTATAGGTACCTTACAGGCAGAGCTGGGATTGGAACTAAGGTGTCTTATCTCAATGGTAGTGTCCATCATTGATGCCCCAGTGGGAAATGAAGACCAGATGGCTCTGCAGGGGCAGGGGCGGACAGCAAAGCCTGGGGCCAGGATTTAGGCAGGGGAGTATGGGGGTGCCTGCCAAGTGGGGTCAAGAATACTTGGGACTCTACCAGGTGAGTGGGAAAGAGGAACCATCCTTCTGGAAGGGCCCAGGGTGGTCTCGGAAAGTTGGTCTGACCCTCTGAAGTCCTCAACTGGTCAGCAGTTATGAGTGTTTGAAGAAGACAGTCCCTGATGCCAGGCTGGGGCAGCAGACCCCCAAGACAGAGTCACAAAGTCTTTGGTGTTAGTGTCTGGGCATGCCAGTCCCGGTTCAGTTGGGCAATCTTATAGATCCATGATCTGAGGAGAGATATGCGGTGGTCTGCTCCCTCAGAGGAGGCGGGTCCAGAGGGTGAAACAGGCTGTGTTGATGACAGACTCCAGGTGGTGGTAGGTGGAGACGAGCTGGGCAGGAGGGCTCTCGCTGTCTTGAGGCTGTACTGGGAAGGGCTCTCGGAACACCACTGTCAGGGACTGGGCAACAGGGTGTGGTGGTGAGAGGAGGGCATGCATAGGGACAGAAAGTAGGGCTCAGGGAGAGTGGGCAACCCAACCTCCGCAGGCTCTGAGGTGGAACCTTTGGAGCACAGCTTTTCACTAGTCTGACAGAAAAAAAAAATCCTGCCTCTACTCTTACCGTCTTTCCCAAGTGGGAGTCTAGAAACACGAGTACAAAACAGTCAGTGAACTTCTGATTCAGTACAACCTGCAGCAAAAGATGACATGAGAAAGTGACTAATGTTTGTGTCACCTGTGTAGGCACAGATCCTCTGTAAGGCTTCTTGAGGAAAGGCCTATTTCCATCACCAAACTAACCCTGCCTGCACCCCAAGGTCACTCAGGACCATGTCTCCCAATTAAACCTTGGCCTAGTCCTCACTGATCTGCCAGCCAGCCTGTTTGAGCAGCACCTAATGAGGGTCACACTTGATTTATGAAGCCCTGCACAAAGCCTGGCAGGCTAAAGCCAATCAATGATGGACAGTGCTCTAACCTTGGCACAACCCCTCCTGGTCCTTGGTCTCTTTATCTCTGTGACTGCTCCTAGGACCTTCCCCTTAGGTTTGTCTGCTCCCTGGTGCTCAGCTTTGTGACCCAAACCTGGGTAATTTCTTCTTCTGAGACTTCAGATAGCCCATACTCACATAGCTGCTAACGCTATCTGTCCCAAACTCCAAAGCCTGATGCCCACACCACACACCTTGTAGACAGTGAAGGTCCTCACATACCCCAGACTCAACTTACTCCAAGCTGCATGTGTTGCCCTTCCTCCAAACCCACACCTGCTCCAGACTTCCCACCACCCCAGGAGCACCCCTGCCCACATCCACTGACACTACTGCAGCCTTATCCTGACTGATCTCAGCTTCTGCAGATGATCCCTCCTACACCTCAAGATACTCATCTCACAAGCACTGTGCTGCAGGACCCTTCACCAGGCACCAACTCCTATGTTCTCAAGTGAAATCCTTCTAAAATGGCTCCTCTCCTAAACCTCAGCTCTTGCTGGGCCTATTTCTTTAGTCTTTCTTAATTCCCCAAGTGTGTGTCCATGACCATAGTAGCTTTTTTCTACTTTTATTTTTTGTTTTATTTATTTTGAAACAGGGTCTCATTCTTTTGCCCAGGCTAGAGTGCAGTGGTGTCACCTAGCAACCTCAAGCTCCTAGACTCAAGCAATTCTCTTGCCTCAGCCTCCTGCATAGCTGGGACTATAAGCACATACCACCATGCCTGGCTAATTTTTCTAGTTTTTGTAGGGGTAGATCTTGCTATGTTGCCCAGGCTGGTCTTGAACTCTTGGTCTCAAGTGGTCCTACTACCTTAGCCTCCTAAAATGCTAGGATTGCAGGTATGAGTCACCATGCCCATACTCTCTACTTGTCCTTTACAGCAATGCTTTCAAATTTTAATGCACACACAAATCACCTGGGAAGACTGCTAAAATTCAGACCCTAAGTCGGGAGTTTGGGGTGTGGCCTGAGTGTCTGCCCTTCAGCAAGCTCCCAGGTGATGCTGATGCTGCTGGTCTAAGGGCCACTTTGAGCTTTCTGGACTCCAGCCACCGAGACCAACGCCTGAAGTGCTGAGAGCACCTTGGCTTGTCAGTGCCAGAGGTTGCCCTCAGGATCTCAAGCCAAGATCTGTGTTCTTGGTGAGTCTTTGAAGCAGAGCTCTCAGTTACTTCTCAGCAAATCACAGGCTATGTGCCTGGTGAACAAAGTGTTTTCCACATATCTGTGTAGTCCCATTCTGTCTAGAGTACAGCTTGTTCTGTTAGGCTGAGGGGGATATCTGTCATCTTTGATAAAGCTTTCTGCTGTGTTTCCCCTTTCAGGGGAAGGTCAAGGGGACTTACCAGGTACTGGGTTCCCAAGTCTGGGCTCTGGAAATGGCGACAGCTCTGGGGGAAGCGACTTAGGAGAACCTTGATCAGGCTCTGATACCAGGAGACTGTCATGGACAGGAAGCAGTCCTAGGAAAGGGTGCACAGACTTCAGTCTGCTGTCCCAGTCACCTCTAAGACTCCTGTGCCCTCCATCCTGGCATCCATCCCAGCCCTTTATGGGCCCACAATCCCCTACCAGTTGGGGGTCAATGTCCCCAATGGATTTGGCATGGACTGCTTCTAGGAGTTCCTCCAACTCTGACAGGGCCAGGCGCCCCCCTAGCCGCAGTCGATCAGGCCCTGCTGGCTCCAGCAAGAAGAGGCGCTTCCAGAGGGTATCCCGGCGGCAGTGCCCTCCAGCCAGCCGTACCAGCTGAGCCAGCTGTGCCCGTGCCATGCCCACTTCTGCAGCCAGGGGTGGGAACAGAGGAGCTGGTCCAGGTGCTAAAGCAAGCCCTGAACCTTCTCCAGGGCTACCAGCTGAGCTCCCAGGAGCCTCTGGCTCAGGAGGCAGTTTGGGTGGTTTCCGGAAGCGGCGCAAGTCAGCAGTGAGTCTGGGAAAGAGCTCTCGTTGGCTGGTGAGCAACACGAAGAACTGGAGCCTGGGTTAGGGAGGCGGGCAAGAGAGTGGTGGTCATAGTAAGAAACGCACAGGGCAAGAGCAGGGGCAGGCTGGGAAACAGGAATGTTCTAGGTGGGGTTTGCTGACCTCAGAACATGCCGCTCGGCCTCTCCTTGCTCCTCAAAAGGTACAGCACAGTGACAGACAAGCAGAGACACGTCAAAGTCATCCTGGTGGCGGAGTCCCTCAGAGTCCAGGTAGGAGCCGGAGCTGTGCATTGAGGTTGAGGAGGTGTCAACTCTGAGATTCTAATGAAACCAACTGCACCCCCTTCTGCCCAACTACCTGCATGGCTCCAACTTCAGCTGTCCTGGAGAGCGCTGGATCCCCCTAGGCATTACCTGTGCCACGCTGACACCAGGGCATATTCGTTATGTTCTGGGCCCCCTGGCCGGGCCATACGCAGTGGCTTCATGTGGTATGTGCTGGCATGGTCAGCTATATAGTTATACAGTTGGTGGGCAGCGATAAGTGGTGTAGGCAGTTCCAGTGTCCCTGAGGGGCAAGTTATAGGAGACAGAAGACACTAAGGCTGGGTCAGATACACTGATCTGGCAGGGGTGTGGAAATGGGAGCTGCCAAAGCGCTGACTGGCAGGCAGAATGGGGAGTGCCTGAGTTCCTATGGAACACTGAAATGGGACAAAAGTAGCCCAAGACAGAGAGCAGGGGACACAAGACATGGGACCCAAAAGGTGATACAAAACAGACCATGAAGAACTTAAGATAGGCGTAGGACACAAACACGGGGACATGGTATGTATGACATGAGGTGACTGGCAATATGAGACCACTTATTTTAGGGTTGCACCTTGGCCTGTTCCTTTGGGGGCTCACTGGCTTATTCTAGGACACTGACCTTGGTAAATGTGATTGCGGCCAAAGTGAGGGCCGTCAGGATGGTGGGCAAGGAAGTGTCGCAGGAAGGTGGTGAGGTGGTAGCCGTGCCGCAGCACCAGGTGGGCACCCAGCACATGCTGGTGCACAAGGCGCAGGTGGAAATCATAGCTGAATGAATGCACATGCATCAGATCCCGCACCTTGTCACACTCCTCTGTGAACAGCATGGACAGCTAGGGAGGTAGCAGCAGGGGACCAGGTTAGGATGTGGCAGCACAAGCTACCCAGTATACATCTTCCACTTTCCACAGGAGGAGGGAACACAACAGATGCCCCCTGCTGCTATGGGCCCAGCAGCAGCCCCTCGGCCAAAATAGTTTGTATGGGAGGTCCTCCTCATTTTATTCTCACTTCTATATACCATCTTGTAACTCCTGGTTTACGGGTAACTATGGCCATTTTGGGAGACTGGGCCTTTTTTTTTTTTTTTTAAGACAGAGCCTCAAGCTATCCCCCCTGGGTAGAGTGCCATGGCATCACGCTCACAGCAACCTCCAACTCCTGGGCCAAGCGAGTCTCCTGCCTCAGCCTCCTAAGTAGCTGGGACCACAGGCGCCCGCCACAACGCCCGGCCATTTTTTGGTTGCAGCCATCATTGTTGTTTGGCGGGCCTGGGCTGGGGATTCGAACCCGCCACCTTAGGTGTATGTGGCTGGTGCCTTAGCTGCTTGAGCCACAGGCGCCGAGCCAGACTGGGCCTTTTTACTTTGTATCCCAGATTCCACTAGAGTGTA